ATATANACTATATATATANACTATATATATATANGCACACTCATATGTGTTTGATTTACACGTCGTGATCTGCACCAGACTGAAATTCGTCAAATGCCTTCGAAATTTTGTTTGGACCTATCAGGCATACACACGTGCAACATAAAGGTCAGGTTATCATTTGGCTGTACGTCATTGATGTGTTCTCAGTGTCCTCAGACATATATGTACACGCATTAAGCACACGAGTGCAGTAGATTTACAGCTAACGGATACGTTATTGCGTTCGACTGTTAATATACTGCCTGCGATGAGAGGACCACATGTAGCTAGAAACCTGGCGTGGATAGTGTTTCCTACATATTCATCACTACGTGCCACTGACTGTGTGAGCAATCTGTGGCGCATCCATGCGTGTTACATAAACGTGTGTGATATATCAACGTATTCGTGTGCCATAGCCATGGCGGTGTATGTGTCTGTGTGTGGAGGGCGTGTTACATACACGCGTGTGATATATCAACGTATTCATGTGCCATGGCCATGTCAGTGGATGTGTCTGTGTGTGGAGGGCGTGTTACATAGACGTCTGTGATATATCAACGTATTCATGTGCCATGGCCATGTCAGTGGATGTGTCTGTGTGTGGAGGGCGTGTTACATAGACGTCTGTGATATATCAACGTATTCATGTGCCATGGCCATGTCAGTGGATGCGTCTGTGTATGGAGGCCTCCCCTGAGCGATGAAATCATTGCTGGACCAAAGTTTACGACAGCGCACGCGCTGGGAGTATGTGTATATGTGTATGGGAACGACAGTCACAGATGAATAGATGTATCTTGTATGTGCTGTTGGGGGGTTTTGAAGTACTACATCTAAGTCGCATGGTACGCAGAAACACAAACCTCCTGCTCAGTCATCAGTTGTCTTTTGATGCCTTACATCTGCAGTAGAAGGCACAGGGCCATATCTACACTCATATACATCCGTCATACATCTGCAGTAGAAGGCACAGGGCCATACCTACACTCATATACATCCGACTCAAACAACACCTGCTTGCTCGCCACAGGTGAACGAAATCGATGCCGAGGTGCACTATAACAACGATCCATTGCAGGAGATACGCCCAGATGTGCTGGAGCAGGGGCGCCCGTATCCCTCACGTGCGTACAGGCACTTCCACAAGGACTTCACAGCGTAAGTCTGCCTTATATGACACGCACATAGATTGCGTAGTTACGTGGAAAGTGTAGAGACCATGTATAACCACACGTAAACACTCTTACAAGGAATTCCAGCGTATGTCTGCTTTATAGTACACGCGCATTGAATGCTTAGTCAGGTGGGAAGTGTAGAGGCTATGTATAACCACACGTAAACACTCTTATAAGGATTTCACAGCGTATGTCTGCTTTATAGTACACGCGCATTGAATGCTTAGTTACATGGGAAGTGTAGAGGCCATGTGTAACCACCGTAGAAACTCTTACAAGGATTTCACAACGTATGTGTGCCTTATAGTACACGCGCATTGAATGCTTAGTTACGTGGGAATGTGTAGAGACCAGGTATAACCACACGGGAATACTCTCACAAAGACGTCACAGCGTAAGGTCGCCTCTGTGTTCTCCGTTCCTGTGTGCCTTTGTGCGTCGTTTGCTGTTGGTTGAAAGTATAGTTCTACTGTGTCTGCCATGCGTGTAAAGGGCCTGCTTACCACACACACATACCAGCACACTTGCATGCAACCTCAGTGTATGCATCTCTCCATAGCACACCTCTGTGGTGTATGGTTTCATGTGATAGTATGTCTCTGCTCTATCCACACACGCATACAAGCACACTTGCATGGTATCTCAGTGTATGCATCTCTCGGTAACACACCTCTGTGGTCTCTGATTTAATGTGATAGCATGCCTCTGCTCTCACCGGCATGTAGCAGTTAGCCTACATTCCCGTCGGATGTACCATACAGTCGCACTCTCACTATGCCGGACGGTGGGGCTTACCTTCCTTCTGTGTTGTCTCTTGTTGATACACTACTACGCTACTACGCTAAGGTCTTTCTGCACGAACAGTAGGACGCGCTGGGAAATGTCCGTGTGGGTAGTTACGTCCGCTCGTGTACATACACGCACATGCCTGTGCAGCATTTGACCATGGGCAAGCGCCAAGTAGACACGTGAAAGCACTCCCCCACGCTGAGACAAATTTATACATGGAATTCGACCTCTCATCTCTGTTCTTAGATTTTGTTGGGTTGGTGGTCTATCGGGATATTCGTGTGTATGGATAAAGCGTTGCACTGATACTTGATTACCTTTCCATGTGTCATGGGATGGTAGATAGATCAGAAGGCTGCTGTGCGTGAATACTTGTCTTGATCGTTGAGTGTGCTAGCGGAAGGGGTGGGGAATACGATGTTTTGTGCTGATACACACCCACCCACACACACACGCACGCACACACACACACACACAGACACAGACACACACACACACGACACAACGACACACGACACGACGACACACACAACACACGACACTACAACAACTACACACACTACTACTACACTAACTACTAACTACTAACGTACTACTA